TTCCAAACCTGAAAAACAACGGCGGCATTATAGATTCGTTCTCCCCCCCGGTAGAGCATTGCAACTGCTTTGTCTGCTTTTCTTTGTGAACTGCAGCCGCTGTGCGGACCCCCCCCCACCCTGTCCCTTCTTTCCAGCCCCCCAAAAACGCTCATGTGTTAGAGCGGCACTCAAACATCGCTCAGGCCACCAGCCCTCCCTCGGTGGTGCTCGTGTATACCGAGGCTGAGCGGATCTGGAGGCTGTTTCTTCTACAATGTTAACTAGGCCGTTGAAACCAAGTGAGTAGGTGGCGGCGCACACGTTATTGTGAGACACCGTATCCGTAGATTTCTTTTTTTCGCTGTTCTTGTTGTTAAAGGGGAGACGGGGGGAAAGGAAACCTCATCACGGTCACTGGTGGGCAGCTAAGCGCCTTTTTTGAAAGGGCTTTTGGGATGTAAAGCGGCCGAAGCCTTGTGTTCCAGGGGTTAGCTGAAAGTTAGCTTCGGAAAGGGGCTTCAGCCCCCTCCGGCGTGATCACAGCAGGGTCTTTCATTGTGGGGGGGTGGGGGGTTCAAAGGAAGCTTTTCTTTAGTCGGGGCTTGCAAACAAAAAACAAAAAAAATGTTGAGCTTTTGAATGGGAATCAGATGCACTGTGATCGTGGATGCGGTCGGAACCCTCTAATGTGCAGCCTCGGCTTCTTGGCAGCACGCACAGAGAAAGAGGACATTTCAATCTCAAAGCCGGGCAGCCTGCACGCTCGCCGTCTAAAGGCCCTGCGCTGTGCTGAGAGGAGCTGAAAACGGGGTCCCACCTGCGACACCACCACCACCATGCCCGGCTGGTGACTACTCTCCATCATCTCGGCCTCCCCCTCTGTCTTACTTCTGTCGCTACTTCTTTGCTCTCCACCTCCCACGACTTCCACCTCCCTCCCTCCCGCCTGCCGGCAGTGCCTTTTCCTCTCGTCTTGCTTCCTTCCTGTTGCGGAAAGACTCTTGACATTCTCGTCATTTTTGTCAGGAGCCCTCGCCTTATCCGTCCGTCTGTTTTTCTCCCTTTTCCGCCCCCACACCTCTCCCGTGTGTTTCTGTCTCCCAACACGCTGGGGATTGGAATGTGGCTTCCCCCCGTGTAAGGTCTCACTTTGAGTAGGCCGCCTCATGAAATACCACATCAACAAACGCTTATTAACCGTAAGTAGATCCTCAGCCTTGAGAGTCGCATCACGGATACTGTGGATACTGAACAGGGCAGAATGATTTAATAGTTCCCTTATGAATCTGGCAATTTTCCCTAAATAGAAAACACCATGACATGAAACCACCCCCCCACTTTTTAATTTTAGAAAAGTCTTATGTTGAACGCTGCAATCACAGAAACAGGACCACTCTGATACCTTGATTAGTACTGACCATTACAAGCATACTTTGCATTACAAACAGGTTGCCATAACACATTGAGAACATGTCTGATGATGGAAGGCACAAGTTCCCCTTCGGAGGGACGACTCTCCTGTGAACAAACTGGTGATGCTGAAAGCAGGATGACGGCAACGTACGCGGAAAATAAGGACGCTGCTCCCGACAGGCCTTAAAAAGATGCTTAGGATTGAACCAACAAGGATGTAAATAAACTATTTTTTCCCGTTCAAGTTGAAAATATTTTGATTTATATTTATTTTATTGTATGTTTTTTATTTGGGGGGTTCTTTCACTGGAGTGAAAATATTTAAACTACGATCATACAAACGCAGTAGGCGGATGGAAAAAGTTGATCGCTGTGTTTATGACCTGCTTTACTTACATATGCTACTTTGCACCTGTTCTGTATCTGTATCTCTGCATTGAATCACTAGTAAGAGACATCATGAAGTATGATTTTTAACGGATGACATTGTTGGAATATGTTCTTTTTAATTGCGTTGGTCTTCGTGCTGTTTTGTGACGGTCCCACATTACTTCTGTTTTGTGTCCCCTGGACAAAGAGGTCGCGGGTAAACTGAAATGAATGACCATTCGTGCCGCAAAACCTTCTGTTCATCGCAGAGGCCTTTTACCAGAGAGAAAATCCTATGTTGAAAGTTTTCATGGAAGGTGAGAAATATTTCCTGTTTATATTATTGACGGGAGATCATCAGTTATTTTGCCACCGGTACTTATTGCCCATTATTATCAATCCATTTTGGCAGCTACAGATTATTTGATGGAATATGTAGCTGTTCTACAATGTGCCAGAACATTTCCTTAAACCACCGTCCCAGAAACCACTCTAAAGTCATTGTTAACCATCAAAATTCTGTATTACAGTCATCTTTATAAAAGCAAACAATTCCAAAGATATGGAAATGAGTTTGTAATTTAAACAGCAAATCTTGTTATTAGTAGTTGTCTTGATGCAAACACACTGTCTCAGTCACTTTTAAATACTTGACTCTGGAGGACCCTGATGCAGCGTTGATCCAGCATATTGTTTTCACTTCCAACGAGCAGCCATTGTGGGCTTTTCTCTGACATGTGAGGTCCATGGTCCTTTTGCGGAGGATAAATCTGGAACCCTGTCGAGGCCTTTCATGGCAGAGAAGGAAAGCGAGGGCACAAGAAGCCCCGGTTAATTTGAAAGGACTAAATCTTCCTTGCATTTGGTCGCTTTCTCTTTGCGAGTTTTGCCCCTTTCTCCTAACAAAAAACTCTGTAATTAGGACTGTTAAATGGGATTACAGCATGTGAAAGCTGAATAGATTATGTATTAAAAAAGGCCATATTTCAGTTGTGACAGATGGACAACAAATCTATAAAAACACCATGAAACAATGACTAGGCCGGCTAATCCACGCAGAAGTAAACAGAAGGAACTCGCTCTACAGATGGAGAGCCGCGAGAGCGAGAACAGCCTGGATATTATGAGAACCGTGCATGAATACTGTTAGCGTCCACTAGCTATCCTAATTCTCAAGCTCAAGCCCGGGTGGACCTTTTTATTACCAGCTAGAACACCTAAGCTTTTGAAATGAGACGGAAAAAGCAGAAACTTAACCTTAACAGAAGCACCGGGGCAACTTTTCTCATGCTGGCCCCCCCGAGGTGAAAGCATCGATCCAGAATGAATGCGTTTCAGATCGATGCGTTTGATTCAGCACATGTTCAGTCAGTGATTCCACTCGCGGGATGTAATGTATCAATGCATCTTGGAGTACTGTGCTATTGAATGATTGTAGGACCGTTATAACATCGCTCTCCTGGCCCCCTCAAAGCCGTACGCGCCGCTCTTCCTAATCTGCATCAATGTGTGCGACGTGAGCGGTTAGTGGGAAGTTTTCCTCCCGACGACACCGCGATGAAACGAGCGCTGTAAATCTTATCCCCAGACACGGGTGACAACGCTCCCAAAATTCCCACCAACTGCCTCGCCATCTGTTTACAAGCAGAGCGAGCTCCTCGGATTTCGGTCTCGCTTGAAAAGGACGCTGCCGCTGTCGGCCCGCTGGTGTTGCCGGCAGAAGGGCTTTTCTGAACCAACTGGATTTCAAAAATAAATTGTTGCCGTCCCTCTCTGCTATGTGGGGGAATTTGTTAGCGTGCAAGTGCGGAGCTGCAACCTGGAATTTATGCAAGTTGGGCTGTTTGTCAGGAAATGAAAAGTGGAAATGATTGTTGTGAGTCTGGAACCGGGTTTCAAGTATTTTCATGTTGCCCTCATTCTGTTCACGCCATCGTGTAAGTATTCGTGCAAAGCGATCTGCCGCTCCATTAAATACGCTGTTTAGTCTTTCATGGTTATTTTTTTTGTTTTGAACATAACCGCCGGGAAACAATGAGGCCACGTTCCCCGACCCCCCATCTCATTCACAAAAAGTGCCTCTGTTGCTGTGGTCAAAACAGGGCCTCACAGCTGCTCCGGCCTGAAGGTCAGCTAAGTGGTGCTCCCTTGGTCAACCACCTTTGCTAATCAACAGGCGGCATGCAAAGCGCTTGGCTCTTTTTTTAGGAGTTTTAGCATTTTATCACAGAAGGATGAACTGTAAGCGGCTTCACGCGTCCACAACGATGGCCCGGAAAAAAGGTTAAAGGCACTGTTGTTAAGTGGAGCCCGACTCTCCCTGTTTTTCGGCATGCTTATGGGCCTTTTTTATGATCTGAGGAGCTTTTTTAATTGAAAAGATTTTAGTTAAGGAAAAATAGATTTGCAAGATATTTTTGAGCCATTCCATCAGGCGATGAATGTTCTGTTGGAGTGCAATTTAGTGAAGACGTGAACAGATACACATTTAAAAAATAAAAATCATTTGAATAAGCAAACTGCTGTTTTTGTTGTGCAGCGATGTGTTTAAAATGATTCTTGAACAAACCTGACATTTTCACAGACCTTCCTGGAAACTGGGGATTATTATTAATGGCTTGTTATACTTTTGCACTGACTAAAACTCTGTCCAGATCGGTCCAGTTAACCCAGGAGCATGGCTAATTTAATATCACTCGTATGCCCCTGGGACATTTGACGCGTCCTCGTGGGACTTTGTGGTCATCCAAGCATTCGGATGGCCTGAGACGTCCACCCGATTTGTTGCCCGAGTTACTCCGCTTAAAAAGGATTGAAAGAAATAAGAGCATAGTTAATTGTATTACGTAATGAGAGAATTTCTGTCTTATGCATTTACCGGAGGCTCTGACTGAGTAACTGAATGAATTCAATATTATTGTTTTGCTGTTGTAAATCATCATGTTGTAAGACATCTCTCCTTTTATCGGTCCAGGTTGGCCAGTGAGTCTTCACTACTTTCTTCACATTAATGAAAACGAAGTGCACCAAAAATCCAATCATCCTCTTGAGTTGGTGATGTGTTTATATGTAAACGCTGGATTCATTATACGTTAATATTATAATTTCAATAGTATTAGTGTAATCAAGCTGGATGTTTTGCTCTTGCTCAGTCAATTTATAATTAATCCATAATAATTAGACCAAGCTGTGTCTGTGCTTTGTAAAATGTACAATTTCCTTACCTTATTTTGTAGGTCTTCTGACGTCAGTCTGACCAGTGGCCCGGGACGGAACTCCTCCTGGTTATTGCTCGTCACCACCTCTCTCATCTGCAGGAAACCGTTGCTGCTTGAACATTGGGAGGGCCTTCATCTGTTGACAGTAAGTTTTCTTAAAAGTGATGCATGCAGAATATATAACTGTCTGAGGGTTTTGAAGTAGCTGCCGTTTGTATGTGACGTTTTCATTCGCCTCTCTTTCATTTGTGCCGGAAAGGGGGCGTGGCTTATCTCTGTAAAGACGGTTATCCCTTCCGCTGTCCGCTTTGGAAATAACCACTATTTCTGCTCTCTACGTGTTGGACACCAACTAACTTACGGGGGCAGTTTTAGAAAGCATATTCACGCTTGGGCAGCAGGACACCGGTGATGACGAGCGGAGCCTCTCAACGCTGATTGGCTTTCGCAAGACGGCCCCGAAGTTGAAATATTTTTTCGCGTCCCCCTGGAAGCATTCGCGTCTGCATTGACTTTGCATGGAATCTACTCATGCGAAAATAATTATCTTCGCTTTTGGTGTGGACAAAGCATTAGTGGTTCCGAGAGAGAAGTCGGGCTTTAAACGAAACCACCTTTTGAGTCGTTTTCCCATCTATGAAATGTATTTAAGTGTGTTGTAATTAGCCGTGCAAGTCAAAGACCCACTGAGCCACAGCAAACCAAACGGATCATCTTGTGGCCACTTGTCACATGCTTCTGGACACTAAAACACACATTTATGCATGGACGTGGTGATGTACCTAAGATATTATGACAAGAGAATCTTTACTTACTAAGTGACTCTTTCGAAACCAAATGTTTGGGGCGGTTTGTTGGTACCGCTACCGCTGTCCTCAGTAAGCAAAGCTCCTCATCAACCCTCCACCAGAGTGATTATGTGCCACCTGTGTGTCAAACTGGAAACGCAGAGAGAGATGCCAACCAGCGCTGCAATTAGCATACCTGCTCTCTGTTGTCCTGTGGAAGATTAAGCAAAGTTATAATTCAATTAGAGTTTAACTCTCACAGGCCGATGAAGCCAAGCTGCCTCATCAGGACGCTCGATGCGGTTCCATCGCCTTTGTTTGACATCCTTAAATGTATTCTACCCCGCTTATGGTTTTGCTCGTTTAACTTGCTGCAGGGTGCACTGAATGTTTGCTGGGAGAACATTAAAGGCCTCCTACGACCTTGAGCACAATAAGCGGCAGACGTTGTGGTGGATGTTTGTTGTTGCTAGCTTGCTCACAGCGACTCTTGTGCCGGTCGTCTTCCTGCTACTAATTGAGTCAGTATACAGTGCATCAACTATTTATGTGATCGCACGTTGGTATGAAAGTCTGATTCTTCAAAATGAATCGTTTGGAATGTAGAATAATGAAGCACGCAGGGGGGAATTCTCATAGATTTCATTTCATGTAGAAAAGAAAAGGGCTGCGGCTCATGGTGCCAAAGAGAAAACCGTTCTGGTGTGTCCCCGTAATGAAAGTCATATTGCCGTTGGATTTTGGGCTCCAAGGAGGTCTTGGATTTTACTCGGGGAGGCAAACACATAAATTCGTCCTGATGCACTGAGAGCAGCAGCAGCTTTTGGCTGAACCCTCAACAGTTTTCCTGCCTCGCGGATCCATTTACTGACACAAAGCCAGAGATGAATCATGACAGCAGTGAATTCCTCTTGTTAGGCTATGTTTAGGACTGGACTTTGTTTTTCTTATTTATTTTCATTTGATTGTATTTGTGGATCAAATCTGATCTAGAAAATGTCTGACAATGCTGAAAAAAATCCCATTGAAGTTGTCCGTTCCAATGGTGCCGTTCTACAAACAATCAGTAGAAGATGGGACTGCAGATGATTTCTTTTTTCCCCTTTAAACAGAAAAATGAGCTCACAGTTCACGACATGTGGCCTGCAGGTGGTTGGAGCAGAAATGAAAACGGGAAAGTGGCCCTTCATGGTCCTCTCTGCTGACTGCTCATCCCAGAAGGGGAATGCTTTGCCATTATGAGAGAATGTGGCCTTGAGAACCAGTCAAGTCAAGTTTAGCTTGGTTGAAAAGATCTCAGCCTCATGGCTTTGTGAAGACCAAAATGTTTGGTGAAAGTGCATCATCCCGCCATGCTTTCAGCCGGATGTTCAATGGAATGCTGCACAGTGTGTGGGAATGCTGTGCGTGTAACAAAGGGGTGACCTCATTGTTTTGAACTTCATCCAAGCTCAACATGAAAAGAACAATGAAATCTACATACCACAGTGCCCAAACCACGTGGATGTGTGTGTGTCTGTGTGTGTTTACAGAGGTTTTGAAATATTTACTCAGTGTTTAACTGATCAATGATTATTTGTGGGAGCAGGATTGCATGTTGTGGGATACACACGCATGCACACAAACCGGGGTGTGTTGCTGCAGAGAAGCCCTCCCCATTGGGCTTTGTTGCATTGGCGTCAGATGGTGAATGCAATGCTAACCTCGCTTTATGCTGAACTTGTGCTCAGACAGCCTGGGTGGTGGGAATGTTGTAGAATCGGGCTATTGGTGCTGTCAAAATATGTTTACACAAATGGGGGTACAAACTTGAATGCAAATGTCGGAATAGCTAGAGCAGTCTGGTAAATTCAGAAAATGACATTACGTTCCTTTAAACCCAGGAAAAGTATACCACAATATCCTGATTTAATATCAATATATCGCACAGCCCACTTGTAAACTGATGGGAAATGCAATTTGTTTGCCTTTCCAATCACAGCCTGGCAGAGTAAAGATGTGTATTTTGCTGTTGTAATTTCTATTTTTTTGTTTAAAAGAACGATGAGGCGATAAATCTATAAGTCAATAGAATGATAAATCAAAATATTAATTAATTAAAATAGTTATCATCTTTGATGTTCTTTCAAGCTCTTCTAGCTATTTGAAACCCTCTCTGATTAGGCTGCTTTTATCTTCATATAGCAAAATGTCATCTTGGGCTCTGAGAAAACTCTGTGGGGAACATTTTCACTGTGGGCAGTTCATTGATTAATTAAATTATGCTAATTGAAGAAGAACTGAGTTGCTCCCCTTGAAAGCAGTCTTAGATTGTAGTTTTTTTTAATATTCTACAATATCCCAATGTTTGCACGCCGTTTCTTTTGACACATGCCAGTAACCTGTCTCTTTTTGGCTGTATGAAAACACCACCCAGTCTCCATCTCGCCTTCCAGAGAGACCTCGCTGCTCTCCTGCCAGCGCGTCTGTTTCCTCCGCTTCTGTCCGCGCGGACGCTCATATTGAGCGCTCTGCTCTGTGGCGTTCGGGAGGGCTTTTTAAAGTGTCATCGGAGGCTGTTTCCCGCACGGAGCTTTGATCCATTCCGGTGGCGTTTTGGAAGCTTCTAGCCAATGCCTCCGCTGGGTCTGTCCAGCCGAGAGGAGGAACAGACGAGAGTTGTGGAAGCTTAAGCAAGCTGTTTTTCATTAGTAACTGCACCGCAGGCCAGTTTAGAAGTAAAGCATCTTCAACGTGGGCCCACGGGGTTGTTCATCTAATGAAGAGACTTCCTGAGGATCTTTAACATCTTAAAAATGCCGTGGTAGAGAAGGTATCAAATGGAAGGAGCCCACTTCAAACCCGCTGCTCTTCTTCTGTATTTCATGGTGCTTGTACTTTGCAGCGAGTCAATGATTGTACTTAAACATCACAATCTGTATCTGGGGATGAAAAGAGTATCTAGGGTTGTAGCTCAAAGCCGCACTGGGTCCTCCTTGCCTCATCATATGCGATTCAAGAAGCTAATGTTGCCAGGCAACTGTTGCAATTCCACATTTAGCAAGCATTGCTTAGTAACACTTTGTGTCCAAGAAGTAAAGGCAGAATCCCGGGCAGGTTTAAGGATGGATACGACCCTGGAACCATTTTTAGGAATTTTAAAGCAGCTACTGTTAAACCGCAACTCAATAAAGTACATGACTACCTTTTATTTGTTCTATTTAGTTGATCGAAATCACAAAGCAAATGTTGTGGGGCAAAACACAATAAGCTGCCCGTCAATGCATCGTTTTTTAATACTTTTTATTTTCCAAAGCTGAATCCTCCACAAATAGCCCCACAGGTTGTGTCAGACCTGGAACGCTCTTGTATCACAATGCACCTCGGCCTGCCGATGGCCAGCGCTGCACTAGTGGGAGGCGGAGTGGGAGGAGAGGGGTGGTGTGAACGAGGCCTGCGGGGGTGGTGCCGCGTTACATAACATCACATGAACCCAGCTGTGCTGTGTTGTTCAGCCCATGGGTGAAGTGGTGCCAGCCCAGCTGACTGATGAGTCCACCTGCGCTCATCAGCGTGGGCTCGGGATTGGGGTCCGGGTCAACAAGCACGTTGCCTCCCCGAAAAGGCTGATCACACGTCGGCAGTATGGATCAGAGGCGAATTCAAGCGGGCAAAACATGAAACGGCAGCACCGGCGTCCTCTCTTCCGGCACAGCGTTGCCATGGCAGCAGGGTTGTTGGTATTGTGAGAAACCGTGGAGAGTGATGATAATGCAGGGTTCCAACAATGGTCATTACAAGCCCCCCCCCCCCCCCCCCCTGCTTTTTCTGTACCATTTACCCTTCTCTGTTTAGCCACTTTTTAGGGGAGCAATGGAGGGAGAACAAATATTCTTTCATCTGGGGGTCTAGAAAAAGGCAGCTCACACTAGGGAGTGGGAATTTCTCCCTTTGCGCTGGCCAAGCGTTACAGTCATCCTGGAAAGGACCTCTGTGAAGACGCCGTTACCAATAATTTTCCTCAGAAGGACTGGTGGTGTGTTATCATTTTGGAAGATCTGGCAGGTACATAAACCTCGAAAAAAGACATAATACGCTGCAGGCGTCTTCCAGGAAGGGGCTTGTCACCCTGCATGTACAATTTAAATAAAATAAAACAACTGTCCGGGTTCTGCAATTGGAGTGAGACAAGGAGAAAAGGTGATGTTGTTATCTTCGTAATAAAACATCTTTGATGTGACGTCTCTTGGCCAATCAGCGATAAGATCTCGACAACGTCTTCATTTCCCCCCTTCAACAATTTCATCCCTTCACTCTAAATTGAAGTTACCCCCCCAGGCCCTCAAGTGAACACTCCTGAAAACACACCTGACAGGAA